TATTTCCTTCCAATCTAAAGGGCTACTTTTTAAATGTGGTGTTTCTAAATTAGTGAAGAAATCCATTAACAAATTGTCAAGTTCATTCTTGATTTCTAGATTTTGAAATCATATGTTCTCCAGTAAACATTTCCTTTTCTTTTAAATTTTTTGTCTTTTTGAGACAGGTTGTTACTATACAGTGCAGACTGGCCTGGAGCTCACTTTGTAGTCCAGGCTGGTCTAGAACTCACAGTAATCCTCCTGCCTCAGCCTCCCAAGTGCTGGGATTACAGGTGTGCACCACCACGCCCAGCCCCCAATTCTGTTTTCTAAAATGAACAGACTCATATTTCCAAGCTTCCCAGGTACAGAATTAAATTGTTTTCTGTCTTTATAAATTGTTTTCTTACAATGATTATAATTACAATAAATTGTGTTCAAAATTCTAATGTATGCATGTGCTACTTTTCAAAAAAATTTTACACTAAGATTAAAATTTAATATTTTCTGATAGTCCTTTCTGTAATTTAAATACATGCTTTACTTGCCTTTGGAACTACTACATTGGTTCAACATCCTTAAGGAATAATTTATGAGTCCCAAATTCCTTCATTATTATAATATTCATACTGGATGAAAGCCCTGTAACTATCATACATGGCATTCATTGTCTTATATTTTTAGGTCCTCCTCTGCATTCTAGGTCTTATGTAGTGTATTCTTATTTAGATCTTGTACCTGCTTCTCACCTTTGGTAAAAAGCAAAGTCTACTTTACCTTTCTCTTCCAGACCCCACGTTACAATCAGTGAAACCATTTTTAGGGACTTTAATGCACATTATCTTGCTCCCCTCCATTGAAATACCTGGAAGAGCACTTTACCTCCTAGCTACTGCTGGGATCTGATCACTGGGCTCCCTGGGCTGCAATGCCACCCGCTTTAGTCTATTCAAGCCCTTGTGCAATCGGTCTTTGAAAACACACACTTGTGCTCCTTGTATCACAGCCCTCTAGCAAGGTCAGTGTGGTGTCAACAGCACTCCTGTCCAAATTCACTCATCCACAGGCTGCTCAGGCTCTTTGTGTCTGCAGTGTCACCCGAGGGGTCTCCGCCAAGCACTTATGCACACCAATCCTCTGTTGGCGTAGCCTGCTGCCTTTGCCTGCTGTTCTGTTCTGCCCTGCTCACAAGGATGCTGTCTGTGTACTGTCCGAGTTCACTTCCTCTGCAATCCTGTCCTTTACACCAACTTGGATGAAGCGGGAGGACCTTGTACTACGTGAAGTCAAGCAGACATAGCAAATCGAATATACTATGATCTCACTTCTGTGTGACATCTCTGTCCAACTCACAGAAAGAGTTTTTCAGTTGTTTCCAGTGGTGAGGCATTAGAGAAATGGGAGTGATATTGGTCAGAAGGTACAGTTACTGCATGGTAACTTTTAATGACACTCTAGTATTTTCTTAAAATTTGGTAATAGATCATAAGTGCTTTCCTAACACATTAATGTTCACTAATTTTTTAGTGATGGACATATTAATTAGTTAGTGGTAATCATTATACATTACATATAATATCAAATTATCACATTGTATATGCAATTTTCATTTATCAATTTTACCTCAAAAATTGGCAAGATTCACTTCTTGTGATAAAATTTGTTTAATCCCTTCAAGTTAAGGATCTTTTACACTGAGCTTCACTTTAGTTCCTGTTTTAGTTATTTTTCTCATCACTGAGACAAAATACCCAATGACTATAGTTAGGAAGAAAGGGTTATTTTGTCTCACAACTTGCATAGGTTTCAGTCCATAGCTGACTGGCTCCAGAGCAGGGCTGCATGGTAAAGGGGCATCGCAGAGGAGAAAGAGTGCATGGTGTGGCAGGTGGAAGGTGGCAGCAGTGTTGGCGGCAGCAGCAGCAGCCTCACCCTTTCATCCTATCCAGGTTGTCAGCTTTTCAGGTGGTGCCACCAGAACTATACTAATTCCATTCAAGGGACTGATTTTGTGAGCACACCATCAGTCCCACTAGCACACATCCCAGGTCCAGCCAGCCTCCAAAGTCCTAATGAAGAGTGCAAGAGGCTTTGGGGTGGGGGCACAGAGATACAAACTGTGACGGTTCCCACACATCTGTTCATTACCTCTCCTTCTGGCTATGAGTTCTTTATCTTGGCATTCCTAAGCCTTAACACACTATCTGATATAGAGATGCAACAATATTTGTTGAATGAGTATTTGAATAAATTAACTGATAGCTTAGAGCCCTCCATTTTTCATTACGTGACCTTTAAAATCCATAAATATATTTTATTCTCTTGCCAGGGTTAAAACTCATGTGTTAGTTCCTCCCTACTTGCACAGACTTGTAATTCCTTCTTCATGAGCCCATCTGTGAGCTTCTTCATCAGCTGGAAGCATTTATGCCTCCTTAACTTGGAAGTCTCAGCTGAACTTGTTCTTCTAGAACATTTTTAAAAGGATATTAAATAAGTATCAATTCTTGAGTTTTTGAATTCTGTGTACTTTTCTATTTAGAGTTCGATCCGATTTAAAATTTTAGTGTAACCAGAAAACTTAAGAAGCTTGAGCCCATGGCATCATTAATAAAAACAAAACAAAAAAGAAACACGCAACAAAATTTTGTTTAGGAGAATGGAAGTCACTAGCTTCGCTTGTAGCTGTGTCTGTTCACTAAATTGAATTTGCTATGGGTGATAGCTGTTGCGACAAATAGCTTTGCTTTTTAACTTCTCTTACCTAAGCTCTAGAACTGCTCCTCTTCTTCTGTGCCCTGTTGTCATGTGTGACCCGTTGCTGTGCTTCCTAGCCTGTCCTCCCTGCAGGCTTCACAGCCTGCTCTGGGGCTCTGGTGCTTCTCAAGGGTGAGTGATTGCCTTGGATGGAGAGGCCCGCGTGCACGCTCAACAGCAGCACGCAGGTGCAGTTTTAACATTCCAGAGTATCCACAACTTAAAGTCACCACAGTTTCCAGTAAGACGTGCATAACCACCATCAGAGAAAAAGAAAACCTTTTAACTTCTTTGTAATAATTTATGTTTAGTTTTTCACCTTCCAGAAACAAAAGCAAAGCTTCCAGAAAATACCTAAAT